TTCGGAAAAGGAGTTTCAACTTTCGAAAGTTGAAAATCAGGCTGATATACAGCCTGTATACACTGATATACATAGACGCTATACTATAAATATGTGTAAAAATTCGTACAGGGACGCTTATTCTAATTAAAATTCAGAATTAGGCAAACAATGCGGACGTAGAGTGCAGCCCGTATACATTAGTATACATTATCGGGCTACGATATACACTTGTTAAGTAAGTTTTAAAAGAATAATACAGGTACAAATACGCAGGGCAATGCAGGGAAAAGTAACGAAAATATGTATTTAAACAGGTGGAGGACTCAAGAGGTCCAAAAGGGTCAAATATATACTGTATACAGTATGTATACATTTATGTATATCCTTCAGGATCCTTTTTCAGGAATGGCCCAGGGCCCTTCAACAATTTTTCTAACAGGCCCAAGGGGCCGAAATGTTTTTTTTTGCAGGATTTTTTAATTTTGTTGAAAGGGCCCAAGTTCAATTTTGTTCTCCTCTTTACTTATTATTTGCTTGAATTAATTAATGTGTGGTAGGATTTTAATAATCTCCTAAAGGGTAGCCATTTTTCATTATTTTAAACTTTACTATTTTATTTTATTTACTTTTGTCACAAATTAGTTTTTCCTTAAATTAAATCCCTTTAAATAGCTCCCTTTAGAAATAAAAAATAGTAATAATAATAAAAAATAAAATAATAAATATTAAAATGATTTTTCTTTTACTTAAAAAAGTCATTTAGTCAAATTGCCGGTCAACCGCAAGTTAGCGGGCATCCCGAGGGCCTAATACCTTCTCGGGATGTACATTGAACTTCGAACCTTTTCAATCGATTTTATCTGTTTTTAAATCTTTTGAAATTTTTCTTGATTTTATCAAAATCAAGTGACGACTCCGTAATTCGAAAAGTCGAGTTTTCTTAAATAATAAGATTAATTGATTTTTCGAAACCTAGTCAATATTTTCCATTTTTAAAATAAATAAATAAATAAATAAATAGTTAGTAGTATTAAAAAAAACATGGCAATTCTAAATTTACCAACTTGAGTTGTACCTTTGTGAGTGTTTTGTAAAACGTCTCATATTTGTTTTGCAGAGGTACAACTAGATGTGGTTAAACTCTTCAGGTCCTAGTCCAAATATGAGAATGCACTTAGCTTTTGCATTCTTCCTTAGCATCTTGTAGTCAGCTTTTCCATATTTTTCTGTAAGTTTAGGTACACTATCAGTAATAGTAGGAGTTAATGGTCCATTAGTAATTCTAACCCATACTTCATAATCTTCAGCTTGAATGAAGTCTTCCATCCCAGTCTTCCACCAAGAGTAGTATTCTTAATTAAATAATGGTGGTCTTTTGATGTGTTGCCCTTGACCATGCCCAATAGGAGGTGCAGAATTCATAATGATCTTATCTTGAGTTATTGAACTTTTCAAATATAACCGACTCTGATACCAATTATTGGAATTGTGACCCCAAAAATCGCTTAAGAAACATGTATATTCTATAGGTTCCTTTGCAGATTACAACATTTACGTTTTGTGAAGCAAATAAAATAATAGCACAATGTTTATCGCGAAAAACCCTAACTCTTAAGGGTAAAAACCACGACCTACACCTTTATAGGATTTAACTCCACTTTATTAAATTTCAAGTCTCAACAAAAGATTACAAAACTATGTAACCTAAGGAATTATAAATTCTAATTCCTAGAGGAATTATAAACTCTAATTCCTAACTAAGAAATTATAAACTCTAATTTCTAGCTACCCAAAGACACAAAATCCCCCGGTTTTATATCTTCTAATGTTCTTTAAGTTCTACAACTGGTCGAACAACTCCTACTCACAAAACTCAGATTATAAATAAGACTCTTGAATACAATCTTCAAGCAAATCTATCGCCCTATTTATAGATTTGAACTTGAATCTAAAACATATTTCAACTAGAAATCCTACTTTGTGTGGAACTCCTAGTTCAACTCGAACTTGTCTTCGCCGCATCTTCAACTTCTTCAACTAGAACTGAACTTTGTCACATCAAAAAAACCTTGTCTATGTAGGACTCCTCCTCCTACGATCTATTAGGGTACACATGAATATGTATATTTTGAAAAACGACAGATTGTATCATGAAACAATTTTAGCAGACGTGATCTCTGGTTAAGAAGATCACTGCTAAGAAGTCATCCGCCAAGAAGCGATGAAGCAACGCAAGCAAGACTGTTGATGATAAATGGGAAAGCAGCGTTGCAAACACATATTACTTACTTACCTGTTAGTTGTAAGAAGTTGAATTTTCTAATTCAAAAAGGGGGAATTCGTTGTTTAAGTCTCGTTGTTTTGAACTATTGTAAAAGCATGAAGAACATGTAGTAAAATCTTGGTCCAGAAGTTCAACTTTAAATAATATTTCAGCAAACTTATTTAAGGAAACCTGATGTAAGTTTTCCTGAGGCGTGGCTAACTAACTAAAGAAAACGTGTTTTCTTAATTAAAAAGGAAAATTTTCTGGAATAGTTTATGTGTCCAAGTCAAATACAAAATAGGAGTTTGATGGAAAAAAAAGTTGAAGAATGTTTGAGGCGGTATAAAATTAGAGCCAAGTTGCTGGAAGTTGTTGGGCGGTTCAAGTTCGTGATGTTGCCTAATCTGAGTAGGAGAAGGAATCGAGTTTTTGTTGCTGTCCAATTTGATTAAAAAGGAATTCAAGATGAACTTAACAAGGTTTTGTAGAGGCAAAGACAAAGTTGATTCAGACAAGGAGTTGAAGATGCGGCGAAGACAAGTTCAAGTTGAACTAGGAGTTCCACACATAAGAAGAGTCCTCCATAAAGTAGGATTTCTAGTTGAAATAGGTCTTGGATTCAAGTCCAAATCTATAAATAGAGCGGTAGTTTTGCTTAAGAAAAATTGTGCACTTACACAGAGAGAAGATCAAAACACGATCAAGAGGTTTGAGATTTATTGGGAGTGTTGCAATCTGTGAGGAAAAATTGTAAGATTCTATTCAAGAGTCTTGTTTACAATCTGAGTTTTGTGAGTAGGAGTTGTTCGACAAGTTGTAGAACTTGAAGAACATTAAAAGATATAAAAGCGGGGGGTTTTGTGTCTTTTGGTAGTTAGAAATTAGAGTTGATAATTTCTTAGCTAGGAATTAGAGTTTATATTTCCTTTAGGAATTACAGTTTATAATTTCTTAGGTTACAAAACTTTGTAATCGGTGTGTACGTGTTCCTTTGAAGAATTCAGGAGGATAGAATTCCAACAATATATGATGACTCTGAAAACGCGGACTAGACGTTGTATCATCACGATTCACGACGTTCATAGTGATGGTTATCGGCTAGAAAACCTTTTATAATAAAGCTTCACTTGTTTTATTACATTGCATGATTTACTTCCACTTGAGTTATTTTTAATACTCTTCGAGCTCATGTACTATTTCATTCAGATCCATTACATATTTTACATTCCATATCCTGACCTCTTTTATTATATCGTTTTATGATGCAAATATAGGTGTTGGGGATCATCAACAGACACTTCGTTGAGTCACTATCTTGTCAGTCTCTGGTGAGACCTCCTTACTTTTGGGAAACTCCATTCACTATACTTATTATTAGTAGTAGTAGTAGTCCGTTAGTACTTTTGAGGTAGCGATGAGTTTTTCCCAATACCTACCTTTAGTCTAGTAGAGGCTTCGTGGACAGAGTTAAAGAGTTAGTTCACTATTTCCTTTCAGACGTTTCGAGCATTTTCATTATCTATATTTAGTTCAGAAAGTGCATAAGATTTGACCAAGTTTATTTTTTTGGAATTTTCATCAATAAAGTTTCCGCATGTATGTGTTTATTCTTCCGCTAAGAAGTTAGTCATACCAAAGATTCACTTGAAATCAACAATGATTTCCAAGTGTTGATCCCACCTACGGGACGTAGACTCGGAGTGTACACAACGAGTAACTTAATCTAGCCAAAGTTGATTGCCTTAATAATTATTTAATTAGTAGTAAGACAAGTTTGATTACAACCTTTAAATTCTCTTTTTTTACAATTTCAAGCAAATACTGTATTCAAATTTCAGACCTTCACTAGAAGCATGAAGTGGTACAACTCCTAGCTAGTATATCTCAACCTATATATATTTCAAATTTTCTTGAATAATCATCAAAGATGGAGACCTCTTGGATTTTTTTAAAATATTTTTTTTTGAAGTTGAAGTTCGAAAAATATGTGGTCATCATAAAATTTTGAAAAATTTTGTTTTAACTTTTTCTTTTTTTTAAAAAAAAAGAATCAGAACTTCAGAAATATATATTATTAAGTCTGTTTTCACTTTTCCACTCCAAAAGAAGACTAATAATTGGAACAAAATTCTTATGACATTTTCTTAACATGTCATATGAACTCAGAAAAGCTTTACAAAATTATTTTGAATATTTGCACTTTATTCTAAATCACATTTCCTATTTTACTTGGTTAACTTTTTACATTAACGTTAATGAATACTTCCATATTGAATGACGAAATTAGGAAGTTGTTCAAAATATCTGTCCAAAATGAAATTAAAAATATATATAATTTTTTCAATTTACCATGTCCTGTCTCACTCTACTTTGTTGAAATATTTCTTCGTCCCATTGTCATTTGTACTAACTCCTACTAAATATCTCATGTATGTCCAAATAATAGTACCATTGGACATCAACTTTGAAAGCTAATTGTGTGGAGAGAACACATCCTGACTCATGTTCTTAAATATCAAAGACAGTGTTTTTTGAAGACTTTAGAGGATCATAGTGGAAACTGGAAAGTAGTCTATAATTGATGTTCTTTAATATTTGTCTGAAGGGATATGACAAATCATAATAATTCACTTCTCATAGTTATCTCAGGATTAATTATGTTTTGGGATAACTTATCCCATCGTGTATATGAGATGACTTATTTCACCATATATATAAGATAAATTATTTCAAAATGATAATTCTTTTTTTTAAAAAAATGAATCATTTCTCGATTTGTGCATGCCATCCTTGCACCAAAGACCATGCTAATCTTCTCTATCATGTTTTGTTGGCCATGTCATTACCTGGTCAACATAAAATATGGTGTCTTAATTCTATCTATATTAAAAATGAAACAATACCTATCTATATTATGGTCAACATAAAATATGGTGTCTTAATTCTATCTATATTAATTTTAAATTCTATCTATATTAAAAATGATATTTTTTTCTGCTCGAACTCACCTTTAATAAAATGAAATGTCTTAATGCTTATAAATAAGGAGTACTTTTACTAACTTTATCTTTAATCAAACAATACCTATATAGGAGTATATCTTTTCTTAGTCACTGTAACAAAATAAGGTAAATTTAAATAGTTATTATAATATATTATTGATCATTTGAAACACCACTTATTTTGAATAACAATGAAAAGGTAAAAGAAAAAAAAAATTAAAGCAAGCTGCTCTATAAATATTTCTCAAACTTTGTGGAATTAGCTTATTATCTACTATCAAAGATGGACATCCCTTGGGTTTTCATAGTGTTTGGCTCATGGCTATTTGCATTAGCTTTTGTCTTTAAAAAATTGAACCATCCCAAAAGGAAACTACCACCAGGTCCAAAGCCATGGCCAATTATTGGCAATTTGAATCTCCTTGGTTCACTCCCACATGTGTCTTTTCACCATCTTTCACAAAAGTATGGAGATTTAATGCTACTAAAGTTCGGTTCGAAGCCTGTTTTGGTAGTATCATCTCCAGAAATGGCTAAAGAGATATTGAAGACACATGATGCTATTTTTGCATCTCGTCCCGTGTTAGCTGCTGGTAAGTATACTAGTTTTAACTACTCAGACATGACATGGGCACCTTACGGTGCATATTGGCATCAAGCTAGAAAAATTTACCTAACTGAGATATTTAGTCCCAAGAAGCTTCATTCTTTAGAGTACATTCGCATTGAGGAAAGACAAACTTTAATTTCTCGTCTTTATCCTCACTCAGGAAAGCCAATTTTTCTTAGAGACCATTTACCTCGATTTTCTCTTCGTACTATTAGTAGGTTGGTTATGAGTGACAAATATTTTAGTGATCAATCAAACTCAGATACTTCAATAGTAACACTTGAAAGATTGCAATGGATGTTGGATGAATGGTTTCTTCTAGCTGGGGTGATTAATCTTGGAGATTGGATACCTTGTCTTAGTTGGTTCGACTTGCAAGGATACATAAAGCGAATGAAGGACTCGGGGAAGAATTTCACACAATTTTACAAATATGTACTTGACGATCACAACGCAATAAAGATGCAAAAATCAGGGGATTTTGTTCCAAAGGACATGGTTGATGCTCTGTTGCACCTTGCTAATGACCCTAATCGTGAAGTTCAGCTTACTTCTGATCGCATGATGGGACTAATGCATGTAAGTTCACTCATTTTTTTTTATACAAGTAGAATATTTTCTTAATTTGTTGTCGATACTTGGTAATTTTTGCTATATATCAATGGCAGAGTTTGCTAGCTGGTGCAACAGATACTTCAGCAGCAACAATAGAATGGACATTTCAAGAACTTATGAGGAGACCAAATATCATGGAGAAGGCACACCACGAACTTGAAAGAGCCATTGGAAAAGAACGATGGGTAGAAGAAGAAGACTTCTCAAAGCTACCTTATATCGATGCCATAATTAAAGAGACATTTAGACTTCATCCTTTATGTGCAGTGCTTCCTCCTCGTTACTCCACTGAGGATTGTAATGTCGCTGGTTATGACATACCAAAAGGGACAACTGTTTATGTAAACGCATGGTCTTTAGGAAGAAATCCAAAGTATTGGGATAGGGCAGAAGAGTTCATTCCTGAGAGATTCATAGAAAATAACATAGACATAAAAGGACAAAATTTCGCATTGTTGCCATTTGGTTCAGGAAGAAGAAAGTGCCCGGGGTATAGCCTTGGTATGAAGGTTGTTCGAACAACAATGGCTAACTTGATGCATGGATTCAATTGGAAATTAGGAGGAGATACGAAGCCAGAAGATATAAGCATGGACGAGATTTATGGATTGACTACACACCCAAAAGAACCGATATCTTTGATCATGGAACCAAGACTTTCACTCCATCTTTATTAGTTCTTCAATTATATCAATCTTATTCTATTTAAGTTATATTGCTTGCACTAAAATAAAATTTCACAATTTGATTAAAATTGTGTTGCTTTCATTTCTTGCTCCATCCTATATTGTATAATGTATTTTGAAAAAGACTCGAATAATTCTATTTTTTTTCTTCTTTTCTTATATAGAAGAGTACTGGTAAAGACTTGCTAGCTTTTTGCCTGTTGGACTCAACCTATATGGCCTTTCAATTAACTTATAATTACTTGTGGCACAATTGTAATGGTTGTGTTTGTGGTAATTTTAAATAATTTAGTCATTTAGATGAAATCATATGACAGGAGTTGAAGATTTGTTTTCCGAGAAAATCAAGTCGGATCCTTGTGAATGAAGTAAGTTTACATGAGCTACATCCTACCTAAATTTGTTACAAATTGCTTCTTGACTACTTGTATTCATGAGAATAAGTTTTTGTTCTGTTGCTCTTTCATGCAGGGCAAACCTACTTTCACTTTGTCATTGATAAATGATGTAGGTTTGAACAATATGTAATTTAATTTGATGAATATGTATAATTGATCAAACGAAGAACTGATTTATTAACACTCATAATTAACTCATGTACATTATTTATTTCAAGTTAGTTAGTTGGTTGTATTTCCATTTTATAGTTAGTATTGTAATAGTTAGTTACATAACAAACTAGTTAGTTAGTTAGTTATTTTCTTTCCACTAGTTTGATCCATATAGTCACATGTATATATACACTTCATGAGTAATGAATGAAGGTAACAAAACACTTCACAATTGAATCACAAAGCCTTGCATTGCAGTCTTCATTTTTCCAGTTTCGTTTGGGGAAGTTTGTAGCATCATCAATGGCTGCTCATGCTG